TCCATTCATCTATGTATTTTTCTAGATTTCCAAAAACACCAAGAACACACACTAAGTGTTCTTGGCCTTTAAGCTCAAATCAAGCCTTCTAATAGTAAGTACTTCCATCCTTGAGTGTTATTAAGCTAGTATTACATTTAAACATCAAGAAATTATGCCAAGAACACAAGGTTAGAGGTGTTCACGGTCCAAGAAGGTTCTTGGGCCGTAAACACCATAAATGGCACCAAAGTGTGCCTAAGTCCCTTGTTTAGCCCTAGTTTGATGTTTAAGACTTACCTTGACATGTTTAAACCTTTCATGGATGTGTTTAAGCCTTGAAAAACACCAAAGATCACCATTTTTAGGTGTTTACAGTTTTGGAGCTCCCAAAACCGTAAACACACTAAAGTATATATAAATGGGTCAAAATCCTTCCTTAGGCTTAAAAACCAACTTAGACAATTACCTTGTTGTGTTAGGGACTTGAAACCATAGCAATACCCTTTTCCATAAGGGTTTATGGTAGTATACCCAAGGGGAAATGGCCACGAGGCCGTTAACTCCTCAAAGGAGTGTTTTTGTTTCCCTAGTCCCTTCAAAGGCCAAACCTCCATGTATAAGTGCTTCAAAAGTCATGTAGAATCCTCAAAATAACCCACGGTTATTATGAGTAGATTTGACGACCGTAAACCCTTGAGTTTACTGCCATAAATTCCATGGATTACGGTCATCATAACCGTAAACTCCAAAGGAGTTTACCCTTGAACTCCAAACACCCTAGCTTTGCCCTACCAACACTTGGATGCAATCCTTGTGATCTTTAACACTTGAAACAAAGTGTTTTCATGTTCTAGAGTGTCCCAATTTAATTTATTAGTTATGAATTGGCTAATTAGTTATATATATGTTCATTATATGATAACTAGGCTCGTGCGTGTGTATAAGTCTTCATTTGTCACCTATCACCGTAACCAACACTTCAATCCAATCCACTCACCACAAGTGAGTTCATACCCCTTTTACTAACCTTTGAAATACTTTTAAATATTTTAAATGCTATTATGGGGGGGGGGGGAATACAAGTTGAATACTTATAGTTATCACATCAATCACATGTGATTAATAACTAGAAAACCAATGATTTTACTACTGCTCAAACTGTTTATCAAAGCTGTTTTACTTCAAACTGTTTTACAAACTCTTTTACTTATCAAAAACTTTTACTTAAACTTTATTATACTTACTATAAATTGAAGGCCCGTATATGTATAATTATATAAGAAATGTTTAAAAGGTTTAGGAAGGCCGTCCGCCCTATTTCCTTTTCACGCTTGAGATGTGATCTGGTGGGATATCCGGTAGCCGTCCGAAGATTGTTTCAATACTAATTATATATCATGTGTACATATATTGTCATAAAAGTTGTTCCAGATTCATTCGTACCAGTTACTTCATTATCAAGGATAGAACAAGATCCATTTTGCATCATATCTAAGGGATTCCTTGGTTCGGGTCGAAAAAGCAATGTCACTCGATCCTTATAAAACTAACTGCATGTCCGTGAGGATCCCACAAGAGCGCCTTCCACTTCTAATAGGCCACGAACTAGACCAGAATCATTCTCAACATACAATTGCTAGATCAATGAGTCAGTTCATTCATGAGTCAGTACTTATTACTATGAGAACATATACAACTATACTAGAAGAAGAACGCATACAACTATACTAGAAGAAGAACATATACAACTATACTAGAAAGAGAACATATACAACGATACTAGAACGAGTAACAATACATTACATATACATGAATATGTTAATAAATTGTGATCCACTGTATCGGAGCATGCCTTAAATGTCATGGTCTGAGTTGTAGCCAGAGTCTCTTGGAGGGAGATCATGAGTTTCTGTATAAATCTATACTGGATTGACTATCCTACACCTTGCTGCTAGCTACAGCCGGACCTGCAGGTCTGCGGGTGCCAAACGCCATACCTTTTTACGACCTACATTTGTCGTTGTTACCTAGTCGATAGTATGGTACAATTAATCACATGATACCTTAATATAAATCCAGTTTAAGGTAGTTAGTACAACAGTAGTTACTATAATACAACACTACAATACTACATTAATTTACCCTTTACATATTTAGTGATCTTTTCACTTAAACATTAATGTACAAACTATATTTTGACAATGATAGTTGCACTTGGTAAAATTACACACTTTTACAGTAAACGAACATAGAAAACAGTTACGCCTTGGTAGAAGGCTACTTTTAATAGAAAACATAGGTTTTTCTAAGAGATTCAAACGTTTACAAACACTTACAAACATTCACATACTTATATCACAAATGTTTACAAACTTGTGTTTATAACTACATTCAAATGTTTTGACACAAACACCGATACTAAAATACTTATGTACCCACCAGCTTAATGCTGATAATCGCTTTCAAAATAACTTGTATTCTCAGGTCGTCAGTAGACAGGTACCGAGGCCAGCTTTTGAGAAGATGGAGCGCATTCAAGACTTATCTTATTATTTTGATTTACTTTTTGGTGTCTATAACTGTACGGAACACACTTGTATTAAAATTATATAGTTAATGCAATGGATGATGTTGTTTGCTTATTTATTGTTATAATGTGTGGTGATACTTTACATGACGTCCTCCAGCCCAGAACGTTTCCACTGTTCTTGGTCTTGTGGTGTGACACGTACTCTAAATCTTGACTAAAGCCACAGGGTTGTTGACCGAGTAAGTTGCGTGTATGCTGCCAACTCTTAACCCATCTAGAAAATGTGTTTAACCTTTAAGCCAAAATGTATAATGCTAAGAACTAGTTAAAAATCTTGCCTTAACCTATTAATTTGATAACTTTGTGGTTTTACATTGCTCAATGGGTCCCAAACCTATTTCCTAACTTTACAACGTCAATAAGGACCAAATACGCATGCATGGGTAGATATCAACCAACAAGATTACATTTATATGCATTTAGGACACCTAAAATGTCTTGATCTAGTGACCAAACTCTTGGGGAAATCTCGTCCTTGTAAAGACAACCCAAGGATACCAAAATGTTCCATATACCACCCCAAAATAGATCTCCCCAAAGAGATGTCAATATTAGAGCGTTTTACGTTTATTAGTTTGCAAAAGATGAGTAACTTCTAGATCTCCAATCTCCACTCCAAGTGATAATTCTTTAAAAACCTTCAATCCCTTTAAAATGGTCAAGTACATACCAAGATTCCTCAGAAGAACTTAAGGACTCAAATACGGTGGCTAAGGGGTCGCGTTTAAGGTTTAGGACGTATGGAGGCTGATAAGAGGCATGACCCAATGAACAAAATGAGCTTAAATAGGGGCAAGACCCTAAAAATTAGGGTTTCAAGTTGAAGGGAGAACGCCCGACGTACTCAAATGCCACCCACGACAACTTCTTTCACTACGTGTTGCGTACTCATTCAGTACGCTCCACTGACTAGACCAACCTCCAAATCACTTCAACTTCAATCGGCCATAACTCCTTCATTCTAAGTCCATTTTCAACATTCTTTATATCCACATAAAGTTAATGAGAAGCTCTATGATTCTATCACCTCATCTTCCTCTTAAGATATCCGATCAAAAACCCAAAATTCATAAAGGCTGAACTTGCCAATTTACAATTATACCCTTAGACTCCAACACTCGAAGGAACACTCGGTCCCTTAATCTTTAAAGCCTACATCCAAAAAGGGATAATTATCTCTTCCCTTGAGGCCTAAAGCGTTATGATAATTGATAATTAGGCGACAACCCTGATTAATAATGTGATTCAAACCGGGTGTTACGACTCTCCCTCACATAAATTGGATTTCGTCCTCGAAATCGCTCCTTACTAACACCCAGCCACACTAGATAGCTCAAACAACCCATCCACAACTCTGATACAGACTAAAGGAACAACTCACATATAGAACAAAATTCCAAACCTACCACCAAACCAAGCCTTAACAGGGCTCTGACTTCTTTGCGACGAATGTCTCTTCACATTACTAACGTTAACCCATGAGGAATAATGATTACCACCTTGTCTGAAATCCAAAACTCCAATATCTTATCTGTCTCCCTGATAGAAAGCCTGCTGCGAATCAATGTAAGATTAACTCCACTTTGTATTCCAAAATAATGAAAACACTTCCAACCCTTCATTATCTTGTTGCTTCTACTGGGAACAAAATCACTAACCTTTTATTGTTGCAGAACACTTTTATCTAATGTAATACTTAGATATTCCTTTGAGTAGAAAGCTCATCTCTTGAACGGTTGGACTCCAACGAGAGCTGTGTAGTAGGGCCAAATTAAATACTCTGAGATTATTTAAACCAAGCCACAAGTAACTTAACATATTCATCGAATAACAAGCGACTCCACACACAAGTCCCAAATACCATCTTGGGATGATCTTGTTGCCCCCCCCCCCCCCCGGCCCTAGTTGCTTACCAAAAGTAGCCAAAAACTTCATGGTCCCAACTTACCTACCAAATAACCAATTTACCGTATTTCCACTCGGTTGCTGAGGCTAATAGTCTAACACAGTCACACCACATGACTTCCAAACAAAGGCCTTATCTAACACGAATTTTCCTAACTAACTCACCATAAGGTTCCAATAGCCATTCTGATCTAACCGATCACAACCAACCAAATAAACTGATACAACCAAATCCATTGCTAAAAGTGAATGCTACATGATGAACTATAGTCTTAGATCACAACCAGACTTATACGAACCACGACTTCCTTAATTTTATGATTGTTGTGTCCTTCCCACAGCCTCACAACCATTCATAGTCATTGATCTCTGATTGACCACCAGTGTCTAGAATGAGTTGTTTAGATGTAGCATCGGCGTGTGGAATATCAGCAACAGTAAATTGATTTTAAGGATCAACTTCAGCTTCAAACCTTCAAGTCATATAAGACTGAGATGAAATAATCACCTACATTTGTATTGTCTAAGGATCCTCTTTATTATTCTCCCCCTTTTTGGTAACATCAGGTTCGGGAGGAGAGTTAGGAGGTGGTGGAGGAGTTCTAGGAGGAGGATTATATGGTAAAGGAATATTTATTGATGAAGGAAGAGGTGAAGGTGGGTTCATTCCTATAGAATTTGGTGGAGTATCATCAACAACCATATCATCATCATCATCATCCAAGGCCATAAGTATCTTCATTGTAGCCACATCCCTTTCAACATTAGTCAACCTTTTTTTCATTGACTGAGTTAACTAAACTAGTAAGGAATGTTAAGATAGTACATTAGTTTCAAAGTTGGAGCTAGATTCTCCTTTGTTATCTTGATGAAAGATAGTATTCATAATAGGTTGAAAAGGAGGAGATGTTGGTTTTGGAGAATTGACATCTTGAGTCGTTGGCTCAGTAGTTTCCAAAATAGGCGGGGTTAACCCACGTTGTGTAGCATCATCATTAAAGGAAGAGGATTAGGATGTTGTTGAAAAATGAATGTTCATGCTCAACCTTAGAGGAGAGTTCATTTTCTGAAAGTATTTTCCCATACTAGCTGGTGATTGTTCTTCATCTTTATTAGGGTCTTCTTCCTCATCAACACTTTTTCTATTACAAAGTTCTGAATCATCATCATTATCTTCTTCATCACCAGCATCATCATTATACTCATCCTCATCCTCATTATCTTCTTTATTATCCAAATTACCATTATCATCATCCTCGTCAGAGTCTAAGGATTCAACCATATAGGGTTTTGCAATCTACTATTGCATCCTTGCAGTAATAGGGAAATCAACCTGATATGGAGAAACATTAGAGATTTTTAAGGAGAGAGTAGGAATTGGAATGTTAATCCCATAACTTTTAACATATCCTTCTTTTCGAGAAAAGATTAGACCAAGCCATTGAGGATAAGGAACATTCAATGGCTTCTTGTTCCCAATAATGCTGTCAATATCATTTCCTCTTGTAAACAATAGAAAATAAAAGCCTTTTCTCAAAGAGATTCAATTGATCTAAACTTCCAGTCTTTTGACCAAGACATTTTCCAACCACACTCGTTAAGTACTTCCACCCTACATTACAACACTAGTGAAGAGTGTTATTGTATGGATCATGAGGGAGGCCTCGAAGATTGAAGTTATACCATTATTTTTCATGAATAGATTTTCAACTTTCTTTAGAGGGAGTTTCAGAGTACCTTTCGAAATGAGGAATAAGAAGAGTAGTTTGAATGGTTACAATGGTAACCCTATATGGACCATGTCCAATGGTTACAATGATGGTTTGAGAAAAAGTATTAGTAGAGCATGTATAGTAAAACTCACATACTTTTTAGGGTACAAAGACTTAGGAAGTTGTAGAATGAATAATGAAGAGGACCTCTCGTGACATAGTCAACAACATCTTCGACTCCTGAGTTTGCGAATTGCTTTGGGATTTCATATGAGAATGCCACATTTTTTGACTAAATGATGATGGTACAGTCAAGAGCATGAGGACCTTTGATCACGTTAGAACTAGGAGCCACCTCGTACAAGGGCTTCGGCATAGTGAAATGCTCAGGAAGATGACGATTTGGAGTCATTTTGATAGAGAGAGAGAGAGAGAGAGAAAGAGAACGATTGCTTGAATAGATTCAAAATGTGACTTAGAATGAATAATTCCCAATATTTACCGAAAAAGTTGATCGATTTTGGTATACTACAACATCTTATGGTGAACATACAACCTTAAATGGTTTGTATTAATGTTTTCGCTAATTATACATGCAATATTGTTTCTAAATCATTAATCCTCCAAGTAGCATACAAATGACATAAACAACATAAAATACTAGTTAGGAGTTTGCCTCTTTATGTAGCTTGTAGAATTTGTTGTGTTTGGCCTTTAAGAACTTAGCACCAATAGTATGAATGCCTGAAATGTAATCACAACACACCTAGGAGAAAGGATGACTTTTGAGAGAGTTTCTTGCATTCAAAATCGGTTATGTGGACTCCAAGAACACTAGTGTTCCATTTTGGAGGCTAAGGGCTTCTTGTGTATTGTGGAAAGATTAGGGTTACACATAAAAACCCTAATGTGTATGACCTTCCATATTCCTTAGGAACAATGGGTTTAAACCCCTATGACTCATCTATAGGTTGTAACATTGGTTTATCCCAACCTAAATAATCACAGATCATTGGCCCACACCATCAGAATGATGATTTACCAATCAACCCCTTATATTTAATTAGTCTCTTTTGATCACAAAATTAATTCCAAATTAATTCTTGATCAATATTAATTAAATAATATGATTTCATATTAATATATTAGAACTTATAATATATTAATAAATCATAAACAACCTCTTCTAAAAAGTCCATCCTATCAAATTGTCCTTGTCATATGCAACCTAAATGGACCATGCTACTCTCGAGTCAAGTACATACCAATTATAGTTACAGGCTGAGACACCTAATCCAACAAAAGTTTCTTCCGTTTTACATAATTATGAATGAAGATATATTTTCTGTAAAAATCTTGTATTGCAACATAATGGTGGATCTTTCATTTGTTGTCCAAGAATTTACCATTAAAACAGGTGACATATCATCAGTAGTAATGAACATCAGCATAAGCGATCAGTAAGTTCCCTGAAAAGTTAAGTTTGTGATGTCTCTTCATAATGTGGGTTTAAACTATCAGTAATCTACTTATTATTGTGAGGTATTATCAATGTGCGGTATCATACACTGAATCATAAATCTCTTTTATTAGAAGAAAAACGACAAGAGTGGATAGGTGAGTGTAATATATCATGAACAATAACATACCCATTGGCACAAATATGTCAATCTCTCATCAACATATGGTACATTAAGCTGAATCATTAATCTTTTAAAGAAGAATATAAGGGCAAGAATGGATTGATGTGTGCGATAGCCTATATTACACAGATAAAGCATTGACACAAAGTTTCAAACTTTATCGGTGTGTGATTTGACAAAATGAATCATCAAGTTTTATTAAGAAGATAAAGGAGAGAATGAATTGTTTCAGTCAAGTTGAGGTGAAATCAACATGAATCAATAATAGTTTAAGTCATCAACAAGAAGTGGTTTAAGCTTCTGTATTGTAGATTCTGTTGCAATCTAGAATCAAATATTTCATGTTAATTTATAATGGTACCATGTCATACCTCAAACTAAGAGGCCAGGGGCATGAACCCTTTGTCATTTATGGACCAGCCAAGTATCTCTTACACTGATGACCTTTTAATCAGATTAAGCCATTGGGTTTTGCTCAATGTTTCAGCAGAACAGAAGACTTGATCCATACAAAAAGCACGCTTCCATGGACAAGATCATATAAACATAATTAATTTAAAAATAAATAGCCTAACCTTTCTATCATTAAATTTATATTTGGATTAGGGAATCTCTCTTAGAGAGTTTAGACAATTCTACACAATCAGCACGAGAGGGTGACTCAATGTTCTCAGCAGATGGTATTGCTGATGAGAAACTTAAAGAGATTTTGTCACATATAGCAGCATGCTTCTAGGGATGATGATATGTCAAAATTTTCATATTAGGCTTGAAGTTCTTAATGTGGGATTCGTTTATAAAATAGGTACAAATAATAAACAACATAAGAATATAAACAAAACAATTAGTCAAATATGAAAATAGTTTTAATAGGGAAATACGTGCAACTTTTTTTGAAAGGAGATTAAGACTTATTCTATCATATCTTTCGAATTGAATGATGATAAATGAATTTCCATTTTCCATGATATCTACCCCTTGAATTTTTAGGTATAAAAGAGAGTAAACAAGATCAACCATATCACATAAAAAGAACACAATTCATATTAAAAAGGAGAGAGAATGCACTTAATCATTGAGATTTTGCAAATTGATTCCAAGCTTCTATTGGGTTTTGAGCAATATACCACTACTATGGTGCACATCCAACCCTCGATGCTTTGGATCTATGTTTTCTCTAATTATACACGCATTTTGAATTTTCCAAAGCATATATCGTAACTAGCATACAATAGAAGGTATATAACATAAAAACTAGATTAAATGAATACCTCTTGATGTAGGGTGTAGTTCTTGGCCTTTAAAACGTTTAGCACCTCAAGCGTGATGCCTCTAATGTGTCAAAAATACCAAATGCAAGAGGCGGCTTGAGAGAATAAATTACTTATTACAAAATCAATATCAAACTCTTAGAAAAATGGTATAACCGATTTTGGTCATGAGGGTTTCCATTTAAAGTGTTAGGGTTACATATTTGCAAAACCTAATGACCTTTCATATTACTTAGGCTCCATATGTTAAAAACTCGATGGACTATCGATGGACTATCATATTGGTGTAGACCATCCAAAATAACCATGGATCATTGGCCCACACTATAAGAATCACTGATTTACATGATCAATCCCCATATATTTAATTAGTCTCTTTTGATCACAAAATTAATTCCAAATTAATTCTCTATCAATACTAATTGAATAATATGATTTCTTAATTAATATATAATACTTATAATATATTAAAAAATAACCTTATTCACAAAAGTCTATCCTATCAAATCGCATTGATGAAGGAAACCGAAAAGGACCATGCTACAATCAAGTCAAGTGCATCTAAGTTATAGTTATGGGCTTACACACCAAATCCAATAGTGTCCCACTTAAATCCGACTTAGCAATCATAGCTTTAAAAAGTCATTGTCTACTTAGACTCAGGTAATAACGTGTCCTTTAGATAAGAGATCATATATTCCTTTTTTCTCAAGATATGTATGCGGACAAATACATGGAACATAGTCATACTTATTGTCCTGGAAATTGTTTCACAATTTCCGATTCGTCTAACATAGAACATAACTGAACACATTAATCTATTTCTGACCGGACACGACACATAGTCAAAACAGAATCATCAAGGGGCCCAATATATTGCTTTTAATCCTCTTAGGATAAAAGGAACATATAAACTTCGACATTATATGCTTGTACTAATTACTCATTAAATCATGCACAACGATAATTTCTATAACATCAAGTTACTGATGCGATTTCGTATCATCAATGCACAACCAACTGGTAGTCAACAACTAATATATATTGGTTTGAAAATTATATGATATTATCATCTCACAATCACTCGTGATAAATTCCATGAAGTGATTCAGGTGAGCACGGGTTGAATCCAATAATCAAATCTTATTTCATGTGCACTCAAGAATGGTGTAGCAAACTTTTGCCATGTCTAACACCTTAGACAATCTACAAGCCAAATCATGACAGTCTAACTTCATACCTACTTCCAAAGTATGATCGATTGTGGATAGTGTGAATAATCTTACTACTCCGGAAGTCAATACATGCAATGTGAAACAATAGAAAATAATTGACACAAGACAGTAACTTTACTTATAACTAAAACTCCTTTTATTTCTATCGTCATGAGTTGGCGTGGTCGTCACCATACTGAGTTCATATGTTTCTATCGCCTCGATCGGCAAGTTCTCGAAACTTTCATCATTTCATATCAAAAGTCCGACCTAAACCTAAACTTTATCCTTCACATTCTAAACCCTCGAAGTACCCGTGCGAAGAGTACTTTTTCCTCTGAAGCTTTATCGTTAGACGTCCGCAGACCATCACGAAATGCCACTTGTCTAGCAGACCAATGTTCGAGCATAGAGGCTATTGATGAATACAATCTGCCTATTA